TATGTTGTCGTAAAAGTGGCTCTCGCCTTGATTTTGCTCTGTGAAAAATAGTGAGGATCACTGCACTAGAGCATCAGCCTTTCAGACCAAAACAATGGGACAGAAACAAAATGAAACTTTCCAACTTTGTTAGTGTTTCCAACAATCACCAAGGCTGGTTTGGTCAAAATAAACCCTTAATAGACCGAGTTACACGTGAATATATTGGTGAAAAAGACAGCAACGGCTGCAATGTAAGCTAATGTTACTGCTCGAGGACAAATATGCCCGTCAAAGTACGTCCACTAAAAGTGATAGTTTTTGCCACTGACAGGCTCAGAACAATAGACATCAACTTGTCAATGAACACTGACTGATCGGTCTGGAGATAGACAATGCTGAAGACAGTACCATAAAAACCTGAGTCAGCTTTAACACGCGGCAATATCAGCCCCCACACAGCAGAACACAGCGGCTTTTGCTTCACGGTATGATACAAGTTAGCTTTACAGCTACAGGTCAGTGCAGCTCAGCGATGAGTCACAGTACAATATCTGCTAATGATGTAACAACAGTGAATGGAGAGGTTAGTGGCCCCGGGAGCTGCTTCTTCCTGCATTCATGGGCATGTCGCTTACTGAAAAAGCAATAAAGAATCCTCTCCAGTCACTGAAAACCATACATCGCTGGTTAGTTTACAAAACATGTTGCCACAATATATCATGAGATTTCTATTGCGCCAACTCATGATGATATTTACAATATAGCTTTCTTTTTCTATACTAGCTCAGGCAACACAGTATCTTAGTTTAGTGCTAGATTTATGAGGATCGTATTGTGTAAAGGGGCTTTTTTAAGCTCAGTATAATCACGATAAATTAATGTGCAACCAGCCTGGTGAGCTGCATTGCTGCTTACGAGCACTTTCTGTTTGCTTTGAGTTCACTGCAGCTTTCAGTTGTGTTGTCCAGCCCACTGGAGGGCTCACACAGAGAGAGAGAGAGTGGGTGGGAGAGAATCACAGTGTGTTTGTGCTGTTGTCATCCAAAAATAAATGTCATCAAGAAGACCGAAGATAATGGAGGAAGAGGATAACTCCAAATTTCATTTGAGAATTTAGTTTGGATGTCCAGTCAGTAATGGTCAGTAAATCAACTGTATTTCCACAGACCGAAACATGAAGGTTAACTCTATC